CCCGCGCTGGCCACCCAGCCCCCGACGGGGCGCCGTCAGAAGAAGAAAATTACATTCGTCAAATGCTTAACTGGCCTGCGACCTGATCCACGATCGCCGGCCGCTTCGCCCCGGCGCCGACGGCCTCGCAGGCGCGAGCGAACGAGATGGCCCCGGGCAACTCGAACGACGACGTGGATTCGGAACTTGATGGAGTTTCGCAGCATCGCCCGATACCTCGTTCGAAGCGAAACTGAGACCGCTGCCGACCGATGAGTCAACAGACCGCCCCTGCAGAATATTTGAAGAGGCCCTCGAGCTCGCTGCGACTATCACCCGCGGCAGCCAACTGCCCGTTGGTCTCGACATCGCGGAGCGGCTTCAAGCGCGAGGCTCTGAGGCCCCTGGGGTCTTGAACTCGAAACCTTCAGGATAGCGCATGCAGAACGCATCAATCGCCTCAGCGGCCACGTCAACAAAATGAGAGACACTCCGCTGACCCCCTTGCGGGGCTGCCAGGCTGCGAGGATTGAGCTGCGCCCCCTGCGCCGTCTGAAGCTTCGAATCTCCAGCGTCGCAGTCCTGCTTGCTGCTTCCCACTGTAAACTGTTGAAGTCCGCGCGAAGGGGGCCCGAACCGGCAATTTACCGCGCCCCGATCGCGCCGTCTCAATCCCCGACGACGCCTGCAAGTTCGTCCAGAAGCCCCCAAGACGGCCCAGGATGGCTCCAGGATTGCCTAAGACTGCCCAAGAGGCCCCCAAGAGGCTTCCAAGACGTCCTGCTGGAAGGCCCGACAGGGCCAAAATCATTGATTTGCCCTACGTTGTTGCATGATTCTGGCATTTTCTTCCCATCAGCCCCCGACGGCCTAAAACGCCCCCAACATCGCCATAAAAACGCCCAAGAGGACTCCAAGATGGCCCCAGTACAGCCCAGGGGGCCCCCAAGAGGGCCCTAAGAAGAGCCCGGGACGGCCAGAGATGGCCCCGAAGACGCCCGACATGGCCTCCAAGACCCCCAGGATGGCCTCCAACATGCCTCCAAGACAGCAAAAAAAGGCCCCCAACACCGCGGTGCCAAGATGCACTCAAGACGGCCCCATATGGCCTGAACATGGCCTTCGACTACCCAAAGCGCCAGCAAGAGGCCTCCAAAACGGCCCACGAGCCCTCCAAGACGCCCCCCCCAGGAAGCCCGAAAGGGTCAAAATGGCCCCCAGACGGCCAAGATGACCTTCAAGATGCCCCGACCGCCCCCGCGTGCTCCCCGAATACTTTCCAAACCGATTCGGGGAACACTCGTTTCAAGGATCTGAACGATCGGAAGATCGGCAAGGATCCGACCCAACCTTCGGCCAGCAGGCCCCAAGACGCCACCAGAAGCGCACAGGGGCCCCGAAGGGGCCCCGAACGCGCCCATCCCTCACCCCCTTCCTCTTCCCCGTCCTCCCTCGCGCGTTCCCCGATGGCTTTCCAAACCGGCTCGGGGAACGCATGGTCCGATAGCTCGGCGCCGCCTCAACGTTCGGCCATATAGGCGCTTCTGAAAAAGCAAGGGGCGGCGGTGACTCGCCGCGGGCGTCTTCAGTAACACCGGCGTCTCAATATGCGCCGACGATTCCTATCCGCCCCCGCAGGATGCTCCCAGATGCGCCAGGGAAGCGCCGAGAAACACCGACGCGACTCAGATGCATCCCATTATGTTAGAGAGGGGGGCCGGTGGCAGAGGGCGAATTCCTTGCGGATAACATATTTCTTTCTCCGAGAAACTCTGAGGCGTCACGGACATGGCCATCCCCACCTCTGCTTCATCACACGCAGAGAGAGTCTCAGCACCCGCCTTCTGGAGAACCTGACAAGTAAACTCGCCACAAAACCCCGCAATAATGGCGTTGGACACGAGCTCGGGATGTCCACCGCGCACAAACAGAGCAAGCCCTCGGAACTTCTTGTTCGGAGCACTGGAAGCACCCCCATCAGAAGTCACCCCGGAAAAACAGGAACTCCAATTCCGAATGTTCTCAAGTTCCGATTCCGTCTTCGAGATGTTGGCACGCTGCTATTCAAAACCTGTCCGCGCAGCAACATCAGTAGCAGCAAGCTCGTCAACCTGGGCCGACACCTTCGAGAGAGACTCATTCATCTTGGCCACCTGAGCGGTCACCTCCTCGATCGCCTTGTCAGGTCGGAGCCATCCGTACCCCTATCGCGAGATAGATCGGGCTGGAGGAGAGCGGAAAGCAAGCAAAGCAGGCAGGCAGCTACGCCCGCGGCTTGAGATCCCCGTCGACTGCGACCGTCGTCAAAGCGCCAAGGACAAACGATTCGGAATTGAGTCAAGATTGCGACCGGTGGTAGCGGCGGTGTGGATGTTGATGATGATGGTGGAGGTGATAATTATGGTGGTGGTGATGGTGGTGAATATGGTGATGACGATGATGGTGGTGACGATGATGATGATGATGTGGGGTTGCTCCTGTTCCTGCGCTGGGGTGTCCAGAAAAACATGATCGACCCACGAACCCAGAAGGGAATATATAATCTTAAGGCATGGCAACGTGTCGAAGACACCTGATTGGGCGACGGGCAAATTCACTATTGAGTGTTTCCATCTCGATGTAACGTGCCGAGAGCTGTGCTGTGCTGCGCCGTGCTGAATTGCGGTGTGCCATGCCGCGATTGTGCTCTATAGCGTCGTGGATCGAGTCCTCCTTTGCATCCGAGTCCTGACCGAACTGATCTGGATCTGAAGCTCGAGTTGCCTGAGCATATAGTAGCTTCCCCAGAGCTAATTGACAAGGGGACATGCTAGGAGGACGCGCGCGATACGTCCCAAGGGACGCGCCAAACGACGTGCAAAGAGACGTGCCATGGGGACGCACCGCGGGACGTGCCAAGGGGACGCGCTACGGAACGTGCCAATGAACGTGCCACGGGACGTGCCAGGGGACGCGACGCGCGACGTGCCAAGGGTACTCGCCACGGGACGCGCCTCTAACGTGCCAGGGAACGTGCCAAGTTGCAATGCTGACTGTATCGATCCTGATGTCCCGTGCCGAGAGCTGTGCTGTGCTGCGCCGTGCTGAACTGCGATGTGCCATACCGGAATTGTGCTCTATAGTGTTATGGATCGAGTCTTCCTTTGCATCCGAGTCCTGACCGAACTGATCTGGATCTGAAGCTCGAGCTGCCTGAGCACATAGTAGCTGCCCCGGAGCTTATTGACAAGGGGACATGCTAGGAGGACGCGCGCGGAACGTCCCAAGGGACGCGCCAGGCGACGTGCCAGGGGACGTGCCATGAGGACGCACCGCGGGACGTGTCAAGGGGACGCGCTACGGAACGTGCCGGTGGAACAAGCGTTTCGCTCGAGGCATCAAGTGGTTCGCTCGAGATATCCTCAACATATCTTCATGTTAGACGTCCTCGCCTGGGTGACCTGGGCACGTAAAAACAAGCGTTTCGCTCGAGACGGTCTCAACACATCCTTATGTTAGACATCCGCCTGGGCGACCTGGACACGTGAAAACAAGCGTCTCGCTCGAGACGTTCTCAACACCTCCTCATGCTAGACATCCGCCTGGGCGACCTGGACACGTGAAACCAGGCGTCTCGCTGGACACATCCTCAACACATCCTCATACTAGATATCCGCCAAGACCCATGTGTTTTCACGCTTCTCCCACCCTGGGGCGTTAGGAGCCCATGTGTTTTCACGCTTGCCCCGCCCTGGGGCGTTAGGAACCCTTGTGTTTTCACGCTTCTCCCGCCCTGGGGTGTTAGGAACCTATGTGTTTTCACGTTTGTCCCGCCCTGGGGCGTGAGGAACCCATGTGCTTTCATACTTGTCCCGCCCTGGTGCGTTAGGAACCCATGTGTTTTCATGCTCGTCCCGCCCTGGAGCGTTAGGAACCATATGTGTTCACGCTTCTCGAGCACCCTGGGGCGTCCTGGGGGGCATGGGGAAGCGAAAAGCGCTCCCCGAATGCATATCCCAATACAGAACATACGTAAAACAAACATTTCACATGAGACATCCTCTGAATTTTGGCCCCCAAAAGAGGAACACTATATAACACAAAACACGCGTTTCGCTTGAAGCATCCTCAACACATGCTGAAAGAACAAGCGTTTCGCTCGGGACATCCTCAAACATAATTCAGACGGCCCTCTTCCCACCTCGTCATTTACAGCAAATACTTTCCCCGGCCCTCTTCCCGTCGATTCCGGGGGTAAACATCTAAAAGAGAACCCTGGGACCACGCCCTGTCCAGGAACAAGAGCCCCACTTATGATGTTGGGAACAACAAGGCCTCAGGCACCCACCAACTCCTTGGAACCTGTCTCTTCCTATGCCCACCGTGTGCCGGATCCTGTGTATCTGTTGGAATCAACGCCATAAGAACCCACCCGCAAGCTCCAACATAATATAGATACGGTGGATGCCGCTGCGTCGGAACGCGTACTTCGGCTACTGGCTCTGTTACTATTGGCTCCACTGCTGTTGGCTCTGCTGTTGTTCTCTGTTGCTGCTGGGAGCGTCGGGACACATTTTGAGCTTCATGGGACCTGTGCGAGCAATATTGGGCCCTTCTTAGGTTGTCAGGGGGAACTTGGGGCCCACAGCAGACCTTCTGCGGGGCCACGTGGAGCCCCTTCTGCATATCTGGCCCTCCGCAGGGGGGGGCATGCGCAGTGAGGGTGGCAGGTTTGGGTTGTCTTGAGCCTTGGGGGCTGTATTCCGTAGGGAGGGTTCTGGGGCCACTCAGGGGCCGTCTTGGAAGGTTCTGACTCCCTCATGTGGCCTCATAGCGCTTCCCAAAAGGCAGGGAGCGGCGGTGATCCGCCGCAGGCGCCTTCGATCGCAGTGCACATGCACCCACCGACACAGACGCATACACATACGAATGAACCAGTCGCCGACTACTGCACGCCATACTCACCAACCCCACCATGAAAAGGATGATGAAGCGGACGAGGAGGAGGAGGAGGAGGAGGAGGAGGAGGAGGAGGAATGTGCTGGACGATGGATGCGAAGGGAAAGCGGAGAAAGGAAGCGGGAGACGAAGGGAGGAGGGCGAGCGCTCCGTCCGAATCGCAAGCCGTTCGATAGCCGCCCGGTGCGGCTCCAGACGCCAGCCGAAGATGTCCGGGTACGCGCCGTCCGCGTCGCGAGCGCAGGGGTCCGCCCGCCCCCCCAGCAGCAGCTTCACCACCTCCGCGTGGCCGCGACCGGCGGCCTCGTGCAGCGGCGAGCGCAGCCGCGCCCCGCCCGGCTCCGCAGGCGGCCCCCCTACCGCGGCGCGCCGGGACAGCAGGTGCTCCACCAGCGCGGCGTGGCCCTCGGCGGCAGCGAAGCCGAGGGGCTGGTGGCCGGGGTCGCCCGCCAGCAGCCTGGCGACGCCCAGGTGCCCCCGCGCCGCCGCCACCGCCAATGCGCCACCGACGCCTGCCCAGCCGGACTGCTCCACGAGCGGTGCGCTGAGCGCTGGGCCGGCCTCGGGGGCCGCGCCGCCGCCCATCCCGAGGAGTGCGCTCACCACGGCCTCGTGGCCCCTGTCGGCGGCCAGGCCGAGAGGCGACCAGCCCTCGTGCGAGACCTGTGAGACGCTCCCGCCGGCCGCCGCGAGCGCCTCCACCACAGGCGCATGCCCAGCCTCCGCGGCGAGGTGGATGGCAGCGAGCCCGAGAGCGGGGTCCGCAGCGTCCAGATCCGCCCCTGCGTGCACCAGCTGCAAAACATCGTCCAGGCAGCCTGCCAGTGACGCGCGGTGGAGCGCCACGCAGGGCCAGCGCACACGCACATTGAAGGCCACTGAGACACGGGGCTCGCAGCCAGCTGGAAGGGGCTCAACCTCGTGCTCCAGCCATGGCGGGAACAGCAGTAACAGCCCGGGGCGTGGCACCACACGCACCACTGGTCGCCCTTCTGGAAACAGCCGGATGCCAGCCGCGCCGCAGGCGCCGCCACCTGGGTAATAGACGCATGAGGCGATGACCGACGGTGTGCCCGTCCCGTGGTCGTGCCGAGCGTTCCAGTTGCCAGGGCGGTTCACGTTGGCCCAGAGCGAATCCATGGCCGTGGTGATGCACAGCTCACCAGCTGACGCCGTGTCCCGCAGCCTGGAGGGCGCCTCGCCCCGCCGCTGGCGCCAAAGGAACGCAGCTGCTGGCACTGGCAACAAGCGTGCCAGCACGCTCAAGCTGCGATGCCTACTGCCGGTGAGGTCCTTGCTCTGCCAGCCGCCGCGGTTGCTGACACTCCGCCCGTCCTTGGAGCCCTCGAGCTGCATGCACAGCTCCAACAGCTCGCTTCTGGGGCCCTCCTGGCCCAGCTGCAAGGCGAGCACCGAATCATCGAGCCAGACCGCGCCCTGTTCTGCCTGCGCCAGCGGCGGTCCCCAGAGGACCTAACCAACCTCGAGCTCATCCCTACCCCTCAGACTCACGAGCCCAAGACGATGACGATCTTGGGGATGCACCCTCAGAAGCCGAGGGAATCATCAACATCGTCACCGAGATGACGCGGTGCCAACCAGAAGGGTAGGGATATGTTTCAGGATGGTGATACAGGCCTCCAACATGGGGTCGGAGTAGATGGGGTCGGAGGATCTCGCCGCATCGCCGATACATCGGCAATGCATCGCCGATGGGCCGATGCATCGGCCATGCGCTGGCGACGTCGGCGATGCATCGGCGACGTCGGCGTGGAGAAAATCGGGCCCCGCATCGTGCCGCATCGCCGATGCATCGCCGATGCATCGGCGATGCGGCACGATCCTCCGACCCCATCTACTCCGACCCCATCTAGGAGGCCTAGAGGCGAGGACCCACGGCTCTCGAGAGGCCCCAGCCCCTGCCCCCAGCGAGGAGCGCCGCCCCACGGCGCGACGCGCGGGGGCGCCGCCCGCGCGCTCGCACGGACAGGCGAAGAGCAGGGCCGCGAGTCCGCCGCAGCCCACGGCTGCTGTGCCAGCAGCCGCTGTGCCCGCGTGCAGGCGCGTCGGGCGCGGAGTCACGCCGCTCGGGGAGAACGAAAGGGGGGGATAGCAAAGGGTAGGGTAGAGAATCAGCTCACGCAGCTGACTTTCCCGGCGCCTCCCGGCGCTGGGAGGCGCCCACGCATCGAGGAGTGGGCCCAGCGGCGTGGCCGAGACCAGCTGCATGCAGCAGATTTCGTAAACCCCCCTCTCCCTATCCCCCCCCCTTCGTTCGGCCCGAGCCGCGGCCTGGCCTGGCGGCAGCGCCCCGGGTGCCATCGCACGTGGGTGTGCGGCAGGGCGGCGTGCCTGCCTGAGAGCCACTCAGCCAAAATGCATGGACAACCCTGGCTCGCGGTGGCATGGAAGGCCATAGAGAGAAAACGCACTGTAGTGCCATGCCATGTCAATTACACGGGAGGAAAGCCCCAATCAGTGGATGGTTTGAAAATGAGTGTGATGTGGATATTGAGATCGATTGTGAGATCGATTGTGGAATCGATGATGAGGACGGTTGTAAGGTCGACCGTGAGACCGATAGTGAAGCCGATTCAATGAGATCGATAGTGAGATCGATCGTTAGATCACGAATGATACCGACAGTGAGATCGATCGTGAGATCGACAGTGAGATCGATAGAGAAGTGGGCAACTAATCATATCAATGGTGAGACCGATCGATCAAAAAATCGACCAAGAACCCAAGAACCTGGGAACCCGCCACCCACCGAAATCGGCACCAGGAACCCGAGAACCCGGGACCCCGGCCGCTCACCGAAATCGGCCCAGAACTTTCGCCAAATCCTTCACTCTCCGCTAGGAACCTTTTCAGTGCAAGCACTGATTGGAAAATGACGTGTTCCTCTCTCTATCTCTCTACTTTCTCGCTCTCGCTCTCTCGCTCTCTCGCTCTCTCTCATTCTTTCGGACGCCCTCGGTCACCACGGTGACAGGCCTAGAACTAGGAGAGCGGGGTGGTGGACGGCTATACGCGCGCCCGTTTGGTATCTGTCGGTCTACGAATAAAGCGCGAAACGAAGGAGACAACGTCGCCTAAGGCGACGGTATCGTCTCTCTCTCTCTCTCTCTCTCTCTCTCTCTCTCTCTCTCTCTCTCTATCTATCTCTCTATATGCATATGTATAGGTGGATTACTCCCTATATCTTCTGGCGCATTTACACACATATATATATATATGTGTATAAGAGAGAGAGAGAGAGAGAGAGAGAGAGAGAGAGAGAGAAAAAAAAAGAGAGAGAGAGAGAGAGAGAGAGAGAGAGATAATGAGAGAGAGAGAGAGAGACAGAGAGCGCCCACAGCGACCGAGCAAAGGTGGGGGGCTTGGCTTCAGCTAGCCCCCCCTCCCTGTTTGAAGCCACCCCCACCACTCCCTTGTTTTTTTCGGAGGGGGGGAGCTTGGAAGCTATCCCCCCCCTTTCCTCCTCTTTGGCCGCCCCGGAAGCTAGCCTTTCCTGAAGGAGGGGGGTGCTTGACTACCCCCCCTGGACCCCCCTTGCTGGAAGCTCCCCCCCACTTTTTCCTTTTTTTCCGCCCTGGAAGCAACTCCCCCCCCTTCCCCCCCTTGGACCCGCCCTGCTGGAAGCGATCCCCCCCTGCCCGCCTTTTCCAAAGGGGGGGGGGCTTAGAAGCTCCCCCCCCCCCCTTTTTCCCATCCAGCCCCCGGACCCCCCGCCCTCTCGTTCGCCAACGATCCGATCCAACATCAACAATAGATTTCCCTCCATAGCCCGCCCCCGTGGATTCTCCTCGTAAGGAGAATAGACTCCCGCCCCCTCCTCCTCCTCCTCCTCCTCCTCTTCCTCCTCCTCCTTTTCCTCTTCGCGGCGAACGAAAAACGAAGTGACTTTCACGTGGATGTCTTTTACTCTTCGTTCTTGGCCAACAAGAATCCGCACGAAATGTATTTCGAAATCCGGAGCGAAACTCCCCAGGACACTCCAGGCCCATCCTTTGTTTTCCGAACGAAATCCGGTCTGCATTGTTGGCGACATGACCTGTGGCCTCCTGGAGCCTCCTAGAGGATTGTGAAGAATGTCTAATGACTCCTCAGGATTCCCGGGGCTGCACTTTTGTCCGGCTCCTTGTCCAGATCCCGCCCAGACCCCCCTGGGGCGTCAAGATGCCCTCTTTTGATCCCGCTACAAACCTATCAGCAAAAGCTGTCAAGTAAATATGCCCCCGCTGCACGATTGCACAGAAACCGCTCGCTGGATTAGCGCAGTGGCACGCAGCACACGCGAAACGCAACTGCGCGCGCTCGCCCAGGGGCGACCCCACCCCGGACACGACATTCCTGCGATCCAAACTCTCACATGGCCACTGTACCATCATCGCGCGAACGCCGATGGCAAAACGTCCTGCGCGCCCCCGCGCACCGATGACGTCGAGAGCACGCCGCCGCGGCCCGCGCGGCCGCCGCCGCTGCGACTTGCGAGCGAGCGCCCCCCAGACTGCCGCCGACGACGCGCACCTCCCTGTTCGCGCCTCTCCCCCGCCCCCCCCCCCCCCCCCTCTTCCGATCGCGCCCCCCCCCCCCCCCCCCCCCCCGGCGCGCTCTTCGCCCTGCCCACCGCCCTCTCACATTAACCTCCTCGTCCCCCCTGGCCGGCCGCGCCGCGATCCCCCGCGGCGACCCCAATCCACGGCGCCGCTCGCGCCCAGCCCAGCCCGCGCCGATTGCGCCAGCGACTCGGACAGCAAATTCCAAGGCCCCCAAAAATTGCTGCGCGATGGCCACCGCGACCCTGGGCGGCGAAAGATACCCCCACTTAGAGGCTGGAGCTTCCTATGCGACTTAAGCTTAGCACTGCGCACCTCAAGTGCCTTAGGCGATTTCTCGTTGCACGGTAGTGCGGCTCACTAAGTTACGTACTATGTCACTTAGGGCTTCATATCTTAAGCTACTCATGGGCTTCTTATAAGCACCACTAACTTGTGAAAAAAAAGAGGGCGATGAGAAGGAAGAAGGCGAGGGCGACCGGCCTTCTTGCTTGACGCGGCCTTCTTGACGCAGCGCAAGCGCGCCGCGTTCTCGCCCCCTGCCCCTTCTTCTCCCCCCCCTTCTGCCCCCACTCCTCCTCGCGCCGCGTCGCCGCGCCCAGCGCCGCCAGCGCCGCGTCCCGCTCCTCGGGCGCGATCTCCAGCTCGCGCTCGGCCTCGTTCGTCGCCATCGTCGCGCGCGCGCCACCGTCGTCTTCCGCGCCGTCGTCGCGTCGTCATCGTCGCCCCCGCCTCGGTGAGCCACTGGCCCAGGTCGCGGACTTGCCGCGGCGAGCCGCGGTCGATCGCCAGGGCCGGGAGGAGGCGGAGGAGGGAGAGAGGGGGGTGGAGGAGGGGGGGGGGGGGGGTGCGAGGGGGGGGCGAGGAGGAGGGGGGAACGAGAAGGGGGGGGGAGGACGAGGAGGAGGAGGAGGAGGAGAAGGAGCAAGGGGGAAGAGGAGGAGGAGAAGGAGGAGGAGGAGGCGGACGCGGAGGAGGAGGGCGAGGAGGAGGAGGAGGACGGGGGAGGGGGAGGAGGAGGAGGGGGAGAATAAGGGGGAGGAGGAGGATGGGGAGGGGAGGAGAAGGGGAGGTGGATGGGGGAGGAGGAGGAGGATGAAGAAGAATAGGAAGGGAGCGATCGCCATCGCTGGATTGGAAGGGGGCGCGGGGCCCCCCGCACAGAGCGTCGCCGCGACAGCTCGGCCCGCTGCTCGCGGCGCTCGCTCGCCTCCACCGCGACAAGCGCGACCCGCTGGCCCTCCGTCGCAGCGGCCCGCGGAGCACCCTGTCCTACCCCCCCATCGCTTCCTGCGGCGATCGCCATCGCTATCGCAATCCCCCCCCTCTCTCCCCATCCTTCCCTCGTCGCCGCCCCCCCCCTACGCCCCCTTTTAAAGCGGTCGCCGCCGCTCCGCCCAGGCAATCACCATCGCCCCCGCCATCGTTCAAGCGATCGCCATCGCTCCGCTCCATATCGCGCATTATCCCCTCATTCCTCCTCCCCTCAAGCGGTCGCCACCGATCCGCCCGAGAGATCCCCATCGCGCGCCCCCCTCCTCCTCCTCTTCCTCCTCTTCCCTCTCCTCCTCCCCCTCCTCCTCCTCCTCCCCCTCGCCCTCTCCCTCTTCCCCCTCCTCCTCCTCGAGCGGTCGTTGCCGCTCCGTCCGAGTGGCCCATCGCTCGATCCCCCCCCCCCCCCCCTTCCTCTCTCCCCCCCCACACACACACACGCACACACACGCACACACCACCACCCCCCGCGCCCCACCCCTGCCCCCCCCTCCCCCCCCCTCTTCTCAGACCCCCCCCCCCCCTCCGCGCCCCCCGCGCGCCCCCCGCTTAAAGCGGTCGCCACCGCTCCGCCCAAGCAATCACCATCGCTTCCCCCGACCCCCATCCGCCCCCCGCGCATCGGCGGCGCGGGCGCGCGCAATGGCACATTCGCCCTTGCGCGAGCGCCGCGCCCACGCCGACGCCGCCAGGTCGGCGTCGACAAGCTTGATCACGAGGATGCCGCCCCCGCGCTCGTGGATCTCGATCCCGCGCGCGACGATGCGCAAGTCGCCCGAAATGGCGGCGCGCGCGCCCACGACGAAGCACTCGCCACCGCGCGAGCGAACGACCTCGCCCACTGAGAACTGGGCCCCCCCCCCAGCGCAGCGAAAGCGCCACAAAGACTTCGACGGCCCCGATCGCGGAGCGCAGCTCTGGCGGGCCAACCACCGGCGGCGCCGGCGCGTTGCCAGACGGCCCCATGTCCCTGAGCATCCGCAGCTGGCGCAGGACGGCGGCCCCGGGGACCGCGCGCTCGAAGTTGGGGCAGTTCGTCACGGGCTCGGCGATGCCCTTGGCCATCTTGTTGCGCCGATCAGTGACGAAACAGTCGAGCTGCTTGGGCTCCTGGCCAGCGTTGTGGCGCTCGATTGCGATGGGTGGCGTTGGAGGGGGCCCCCTCGAACACCCCCAGCTCAAACGCAACGCCCACGGGGGGGTGAGAGGTGCGCTTCGGGGAGTTCCTGCGCCGCGTTGCGCAACGCGTGGTGGTGCTTCGGCTTGACGAAGCGGGAGCCGCACACCCGCTGGTGGAGGTCAAAATGGACCCCTGCCAGCGCGATGAACTCCCCCTCGGTGGGGGCGGGAAGCCCGCGCTCGGCACGCAGGAAGGCGTCCGCCATCAGGCCGCACGCGCGGAATGAATCGAGCTCGCGCTCGAGCGACGGAATGTCGGCGACGCGCTCCTCGGCGCACGCCAGCAGGATGTGCAGCGGGGAGATCAGCTCGCTTGCGCCAGATTTGAGCGACTTCTTGCACGCGG